CCGTCACCGACAACATCAGTACCACTACCACCATCATCAGCATCATCGTCATCATCGTCATCATTAGCAGCATCACCATCAGCAACAGCAGCATCAGCAGCTGCAGCATCGTCATCGTCGTCATCATCGTCGTCACTATCAGCACCATCACTGTCAGCAGAATCATCATCTACATCGTGAGAAGTCTTATCAGAATCACTATCATCGTTAACATCGCCCCACCCATATCCAACATCATCAGTATCTTCTTTATCATCATCAGCAGCATCATCAGCATCATGCTCATCATCGTTTTTATTGTCATTGTCATCAGCACCACCACCATCATCGTCATCGTCATAATAGGCATCATCGTCCGCATCATCAGTAGCAGCATCAGCGTCAGAAGCAGCGTCATCAGCCGCAGCATCGTCATCGCAGTCGTCGTCGTCGGCATCATCACCAACAGCATCGTCATCATCAGCATCATCGGCATGGCCGTCATCAGGAGCATCACCATCTTCAGCAGTATCATCATCAGCAGCGGCATCGACGTCACCATAATCATTATCAGTAGCACGATTAGCATCATCAGCAGCAACATCATCAGGATCACCACCAGTATCTTCAGTAGGTTCGTCGTCCGCATCATCACCAGCATCATCAGCGTCAGCATCATCAGCATTAGCGCCATCACCATACAGCAGCATCATCAGCAGCAGCATCGAAATCGTGGTCGTCATCACCATCATCAGCGCTATCTGTATCATGTTCATCATCAGCATCACCATCATCGCCATCAGCAATACATCATTAGGACCATCCCCATCAGCAACATCATCATTAGCTGCAGCACCATCAGCGTCGTCATCATCATCATCACTAACCGGTGCAGTGCCATGTTCAGCAGCATCGTCATCCTCAGCATCAATCTCATCATCGACAGCACCATCATCGTCAACATCATAATCATAGACATCATGAAAAGTCCTATCATCATCACCAGCATCATCAACATCACCATAATCATAGGGCATCATCGTCCTCACTCCACCCATCACCATCATCATCATCCTCATTATCAGCAGCAGCATCGTCAGCATCATACTTATCATCACCAGCAATCGTCATCATCAGCAGCAGCAGAAGCATCATCAGCATCATGCTCATCATCGGTATCATCGTCATCGTCATCAGCACCACCGCCATCAGGATCATCGTCATCATTATCAGCATCATCACCATCAGCAGCAGCGTCTTCAGCTGCATCTGTATCGTCGTCGTCATCATCATCGTCGTCAGCATCATCATTATCAGCATCACCATTATCAGCAGTTGCATCAGAAGCGGCGGTATTATCATAAGCATCAAGTACCATCAGCATCATAAGCAGCCGTATCATCAGCTGCAGTATCGTCATCGTTGACGTTGTCGTCATCTGTATCATCAGCATCGTCTTCATCATCATGCTCGTCAGCATCATCAGCATCAGTACCATAACCATCATCAACAGCATCAGCATCAGCACCGTCAGGATTGTCAACATTATTATATCTATTATCCTCAGCATGATCAGCATCGTCACACCAACCACCAAAACCGTCATCAGCATCATTATCAACAACATTATCATCATCAGAATCGCCATCATCGTTAGCATTGGAATCATCATCGTTATCGTCATCGTCATCATCAACACCACCACCATTCTCAGCATCATCAGCATCATCAGCATCAGCATCAGCATCAGCATCGTCATCATCATCATCGTCCTCATCCTCACGTTCCTAGTGTTCCTCCCCCCTACCCCCAGCCCTCCTTGTCCATCCCCTTCCCGAATCACCATCCATGTGTGTCATCATCTTCGCCTGGCGCGCGGGAGCGCGTGGGGCCACAGGAGGAAGAGGAGGAAGAGGATGGAGAACGGAGTGAGAGGAGGACGAGGAGGAGCATGAAGGAGGAGGGAGGCAGGCTATTTTATCGCACTCGCAGGAGGCGTGCGGGCGCCTAGTCCAAGGGAGACGTTCCGAGTGGACGGTGGTGCAGCGAGCTGCTATCTTGGCGCAAGGAGGCCCAGACCTGAGCGGGGGGGGGTCTCGTCGCACAACGTGGCCATCTGAAATGTCATGGAGCAGCCAAATCGCCTGCTGCGTGTGCGCCCCTGCTCCGACGGGGGAGGAGGGCGCAAGAGGAGGTGGAACAGCAGCAAAGTAGAAGCGCCTCTTCCTCTGAAACGATCTCTCTCTCTCTTTCTCTTTGTCCCTCCCTCCCTCTCTCCCTCTCTCTCTCGCTCTCTCTCTCTCTCTCTCTCTTTCTCTCTACGTGTGTCTCCTCCGCACGGAGGTAGCAGCACCTGCAAGATACATGGGACAGCGTGTCCTGGAACAGCACCGACAACAGAAGTGACGCACCCCAATACTGTTCCTCCTGAGAGAGCACAACACGGCCAACGCGACACCTAATGATATGATTCCTATCGGCGATCTGCAAAGCCCATACATGAAATGCTCATCAC